AGTGCCTATAAGTGCATTACACACAGCAGCCACCTGGCCGAGAGCACAGGCTGTTAGGTCCACAAAACAGCCCTGCATATGGACTATCAATAATTCTGACAACAGCCTCTTAGCACAACACAGATGGTGGTACAATACAAATTCATGGAATGGAAAGGGCATATCATACAGCAACATAACGGCACAACACACTATTGGCCTATGGGGTACAGGGCTGCACCTCACAATTACTCAAAAGGTTATTCTCTCAATTAGTAGTCTAATTTCCAAGTAGGGCTGGGCGATATGGCCTAAAAATAAAATCTCCGATTTTATTTACTTTAATTCAATTTACGATTTTTTCCGATTTCCCCCCCTACTTAAGGAAAGCAATAAGGTTTGTTGGTCAGTGCGGCTTTGTTCATCGCGGAGAGACTGGCATTTTTCATATTCGGCTGGATGTCTCTGTTTCAGGTGTTGGAATAGGTTTGTGGTGCTGCTGCCTTTCACTGCGATAGGCTTTAGGCAAATGTTGCAGCGTGGTGTCTGTTGTTCCACATCTGTCGCAGCAAACCCATACCAGTTCCAAACAACAGATGACTTTATTCCTTTCTTGGGAACAAACTTCCCGCTCTCACCGGTAGCCATTTTGTCGCTTGCTGTTGCTGTTTAGTGTATGATGTTGTCGCTATGGGAAACGAACACTACGGAAACCCCGGGAAGCCAAAAATGTGCTATTACACAAAAACTCGATTTACTTATTTTTTAAATCGCCCGCAACAAAAAATTCGAATTAATTCATTCAATCGATTTTTCGCCCAGGCCTATTTCCAAGTCATTGCTTTGTTATGATATTAAAATTAATAATAACGGACCCTATTTGTCAGATGCCTGATCAGAAAAATAAAGGATTTCTTTGACACACAGATTAATTTAAACACTGTTTGTCAACCCTTTCCCTAAAGTGGAGACCCAGTACTTTTACTTCATTTAAAACTTACATGGTTTTCTTCCATCACTGGAGTAATATTCAGCAAGACAATCACTGGCAAATGTATTTTTGCATCAGTTTGGGTCAAGGAAAAAAAAAATTTAAACAACTGACAGACTGTAACAACAGTCACAGATTGTAATGTTAGTTAAAGCCATTTCCTCACAGAAAATATAAACCAGCAGTATGTTACCATGACAGCAGCAGTGCAGAAAATCAATTTTAACTGATTAAACTTTATTGACTACTACTAATAGAAACATGTTTGCCGTGTTGATCATACTAATATATCAGGCTTGTGTGGGGACAAACAGCATTGCTCCAGACTTATCTTTACTAGGAGCAGCGTTGTAGACCCCAACTTAACATTTTAGGGGCACATGCAGAAAATTTAGCAGCGCACACTTTAAATGGACCTGCAACGCAAATATTCACATTTTAACTGTATTACGGATAAATCCTTTGGTGATTAATACAGAAACTACAATGTGCTGTTTTATTTTGGTTCAGTCACATTTTCGATGAACGGTGCTTAACAAATGCACATAAGATAAAATAAGATACTTTTATGAATTTGACTCCAGGCCACACTTTTCACGCAAACCACCAGACCACTAATTTTTTAGACTAACCACATTTGTTGATGTAACAGGTACCAAACTAGATATAGATTTGACCCCATGTTCATCTGGGTAGAAAGTTATCCACATTACAAAATACAATTTGGGACTGACCCTTAAAAGCAGCCTATCTGGACAGAGATTTCAGGGTGGCATTGGCTTTGGGTGCACCCTTAGAAACTCCCAAGAAATAGCCTTACACCAATCACAGTACAAATGTACGAGACTACACACAAATTTAGCCCACACTTTTAAAAAAAGAAAATGTGATATACAGAGTTTGTTCAAATAATTATCTTTACATTAAAGCATCAATCATAACAAAAGGGCCTATCCAAAAATGTCACACACACACATACACACACACACACACACACACACGTTCACTAAACTTGAACATAAGCTACAACAATGAAAGTAAGTAACGTTAGGCCTATTATGCAAAAGTCCAAAAAGCTCTCCTATGGCCTACAAAAAACATGTGATTACCATGTTCACTAAGAAAGCAAACAGCACAAAAATAAAAACATCAATCTTTCAATAATACCTAGAAGATATATTTTACCCACAGAGATTAAGCAGCGCACAGGACTGCTGCCATGGTTACTACCCAGAGCATGTTTACTCGCACAGAGCTCGTCTGTCTGTCTGTTCACATTAGAAGCGCAGAGAGACCCGCCCCATGGGTCCCAACAAGTATGCAGGCAGAGCGTAACTAAAACATGTTACCAGCTGCGCGGAAGTGGAAAACAGACTTATTAATGTCGCCAACGTATATGTGGGAGGGAAACAGAGAGAGAGATGCGGACACAGTGGATGCTGGATTCTCCTGCTTGGTATGTTATCGCTGCTGCTGGTCAAGTTGTCAACCAACTAACTAACGGCAGGCCAAAACGGCTCTCAGGACGCCGGGAAATATGCCAGTGAAGACTCACTCCCTCGTTGTTTTTCAACCATGTTTTTAACATGGAAAAAAAAATTGTCAAATTTGCAGGTCACACATGTGCGAGTAGTTGTAAAAAGTACTGGCACTGTCTCAAAAAATGGTCGACCAACATTTGGTCACAGTCTGAAGACCTGAACAGGATTTGTGGTGCTGTCTTGCTGCTGCTGCTGCCATCTTGACAAAAGTGCTCAGAGACGCTTTCGCTTCAAGTGTTTGTGCCTCTTCAAGTGTTTCGCATTCATAGTGCTGTGATAAGCCTTTTCCAATTTACAAAGCACCACATTGTCTAAAATACACCCAAAGTTTAGATGGTTGTAGGAGAGATTTTTTAGCTGCAGCTTGTTCTCAGGGGGAGATCAATGCTTAGACCGAGCACAGAACTTCACTGCGATGCCTCAACGCGTGTTATGCAAATGAGCGTATTTCTGTGATCAAATACGTCTATCAGCCACCCCAGTCCTAACAGAGTACACTTTAGACTTGATGTAGAAACACTCTCTATAAACGTTCCCCGCAGCATCTGTAGTCTCACTGGAATAAAGTTTAATACTGGAAATAAAGACATAAGACAACTGATGACTAATTAAATGTATTTTTCTTTCACAATGAAGCCCACTTCATTTCATTCAGCCCCTCCTGCCTTTCTAACAAATATGTCTAGATTAAAACAAATGTGGGCCAGTAGCGGCCCTTGCTCAGTGCTGCCTTAATTTTGATCCAAACTACATACCTGTAAAGTTTTGGAACAGCATCTCGCACAGTGTTTGACAAAGACAGACATAAAAACATCCGGCAAAGTTCTCAAAACCACTATTATATCCAGGACCACATTTTGCCATGATGACACACACACACACACTCTAAAACTTGTGCCAGTCTATCTACACCTACTCAGTTTGAATATGATTTAGTGACTTCAGTATGTTCAAGACCGAAGATAAATAACTTAATAGGAACCTGTTAATCAAAAGACTAAAACTTCACATTCACATGAGACTGAAAGATCTAGTCCTACACGGCCGATCATATGACAGCTCATATTACAGGTCAGTAAGCTTAACCAGCCGTGGCTTCTGTAAGAACCAAACATGAAGTGACCCCCAGATCCCTGTGCACCAAATGCAGCCAACAGCAGTAAGACATAACATGGACAATATAGGATTTTTTTTAGCCAGCCATTCATTCAGACTCTCTTCATCTTTCATGATATTCCCTACATCACCTAGCTCCAATATGAGGTGAAGTTTAATTCATTTTGAACAATTGCTCAAAGAGCACAGGGCAGTTCCACAGAGCAGTATCCCACTTCCTTCACGGTCAAAGAGTGAACCATAGCAAGTTCTTAGGATGAGTGTGTGTGTGTGTGTGTGTGTGTGTGTGTGTGTGTGTGTGTGTGTGTGTGTGTTCTTCAATCAGAATGTAACCACAGTTTCCTCATTGCCTCTGCCGCACCTCTAAAGTTTGTGAGAAAGGGGAAGCATATAATACCTAGTTGACTGCCTTAGAAAGCATATTCTATGAGCATAAACAATCATGAGAACAGATTCAGACTCCTTCGGGATTAGTACCACATGGACAACCACACCAGACAAAAAAACAAGCTTAACTGGGTACATCTCATTACGCAATTCAAAAGCTGGTCATCCCATGTTTTTGCCATCGTTGAAGCTACCTGATCTGAAAGCCATCAGTCATGGAAGGACACACAGTCTGTCTGTCTGCACTCTGTCAGCCCTCATAGAAAATCAATGAGCCAGTTAATTTAGTGCAATGGGACACCCATGGACATCAGTGCTAGTAGAACTGACCTTGTAGCACATGGCCTATGGCAGCCTGCGAAGTGTCAAATACTGTGTCAAGTACAGCATTCTGCTACTGGAACAAACACACACCCTGATAGAAGTCCAACTCGGTATATTCTGTAGCACAGGGCCCTGGCACATGATTGATGGCTGTTTTGGATTGAGGCTGACCAAACACAAAAACAGACCATGGCGAACGGTTCAGGCTCTGTAAGCAAACTAACAGATCAGGTGTTACAGCAAATGTGTGAAACAGGTGCTAGCCATACTGCCAACCTCATTACAGCACTGTGCTGAAGCTGGGTTTTAACATGACTTTGATAAAGATGCCCTGCACAGTTTGATGCCAAAAGCCTGTGCTCTGACACAGAGACATGCTTTTTGGGAAGGTGAGAGAGTTTAATAAGTGGACTGGATACCGAGATGGTGCCATAGGCAGCAAGCCTAGTCCATCCAACTCAAAACAATCAATGCATCATACAAGATAAAACAGAATCTGTGCCTGTGTGAAAGCACCAGACTTTCGTAAACAGGCTGAAACAACGATCTAGCTCACATCCTGTCTGGTAGCACTGCACTGCAACTCTCTAGCATTTTCTAATTAACAGTGTGACTCATTTCATTACTTTAGCATCATTCATCAGCCTACATGTTTTGCATACCTACGGCTGGAGCATCATACTCATCACCCAGCAGAATTTCTGGTGCAGAGTATGCGAGAGATCCACAACTGGTTGTCAGCTTTTTCCCCGGCTGAAACTTGTTACTGAATCCAAAGTCAGTGAGCTTGACCAGCCCTTGTTTCTCGAAGAACACCACATTCTCTGGCTTGAGGTCCCTGTGCACCACATGCAGCCGATGACAATAGGAGATAGCGTGGACAATCTGGGCAAAATATTTCTTAGCAAGCTCTTCATTCAGACCCTCCTCATGTTTCATGATGTAGTCAAACATATCCCCTCCATCGCCTAGCTCTAAGATGAGGTAAAGCTTGGTCTGAGTATCTATCACTTCATACAGGCGCACAATGTTGGGGTGCTGGACCAGCTTCATGCAGCGGACTTCCTGGAAAAGATGGCCAGTGGCCACGGCGTCTAGCTTAGTCTTGTCGATCACCTTCACTGCCACTTTCTCCCCAGTGAAGACGTGGCGTGCCAGCTTGACAACAGCAAAGTGGCCACGGCCCAGTGTCTTGTCGAGGTCATACAGGCCAGCGATCTTGCCATCATAGCCCCGCTTGAAGCCTGCCATAGCTGGTGAGGGCGATGGGGAGAGGGGAGCCCCCACTGTAGGCAGCAGCAGGTTTGCTGAGTCCTGTGTGTCCAGCTTAGCTCAGTTCATCGAAGGCTGAAGGAGAAACCCATGGCTCCATCTTCCTAAATGATACAAGACACACAAAATTGCTACTGATTAAAAAAAAAAAAAAAAAGACATATTACTTTACATTTGCAAAGTTCACCATAATACTGAATAAAACATAAATAAGCCCAAATAAATGTATAACACTCCCCATGTTCACCTCATTTGTCAGACAATACTAATGTATCTGTCCCCTCCCTTCACGCGGAGTGAAGCATTGAGCAGAATCATGATTTGATATATTACTGAATGGAAGAAGTTCAAGCCTATTGAACAAAAACACAAGCAAGATAAACATAGGCGCAAAATCACCTGTACGTTAGCGCATAAAAACTTAAGATAGTTAACACCAAATCCTCAGCGACGTTAAGTTAACGTTACGGCTTGTTTTGACAGGATGACTGCTGGACTCACGTTAGCCAATTTATCCTGATGCGCTGCCTCGTGCTGCTACAATTAACCTAGTAAAACTTTCCTACAACAATAATAAAACACTTCCAACTGTCGCACGTATGCAGATGAGCTGCTACCACAGCTGAGTTTGACAAGACTATCTGTCTGTCCACTGTCAGCTGCATAACGGGCCCAGCGGTAACACAAGCGACTAACGTTAGCCTAACGTTACCAGAGGCTAGCTCGTTGTTCATTGATTGGTCAACGTTAGCTTACTGGCTGACAAACGTTAACAGCTTTCGTTTTTTAACGTTACAACGTCACCCGCTAATTCACAAACCCACCCCAACAGTAACTTACTCTCCACACGAACACGTTTAGCCGTGTAACAGAGCGCTAGCCTTACAAGTACACAGGTGCTGCTTTAAATACCACACGGCTAGCCATAGTTAGCATGTAGCAAGCTAAAGTTACTACGGCTCGCTCAGCTCACCTCTCCAGCTTCCCTTCGGTAAACATAAAGCCCCGAGTCCGGTCTTTACCGGGTGCCTCGCGTCCTTTCGAGCGCTCTCTGTTGAAGCTTATCGCAATTTATCAGACAAGACGAGGATGGTACCGCCTCTTCGAGGTGACCGCGGCACTCAGAAGGTGCCTATGCCCGGGGATCATCCGTAAAACGAGGCATTGCATCGTTGGCAACGGCAGCCCTGATCGGAATCGTTGTATCCTCCCAGTCGAGGCGGTGGGGATGTGACTGTGATGCTACCTTCACGTGCTGAGGAAAAGTGTCCGAGTTTTTTTTACGCAAACGCGTGGGACGTCACACACGCTCGGGAAATTATTTCTACTACTGTTGAAGAGATATGCGTCACAAATGGTTAATACATTAATTAAAAACATACTATACAACGCCAAAAATCTCTCCCTTTAAATCTACAATAAGTAGACTGTGAGCGAAACTAAGGTTTCTAATTTGACCGTTTTGATTTTTATTGATATTACATTAAAATGCGTTTACGGGACAAGATGTATTTTTACATTTTGGGAGCTCGGAGTCAGGTCGTTACGAGGACCACTTGAAGGCAGCATAAACGCATCACCAACCGCATTCGACTCTGACGTCAAACAAAGTCTTTTAATTGGGAAAGGTTGCTGAAACAGTCTGTTTGCACAACAATACATCTAATGTCTAATTGAGAAAGGTGTGGCAGTTTAGCCGTAATGAGAGGCAGCGTTTTTAAATGCTGTGTTTTGAGATAAGCATAGCAGGACGCGTCCGACATGTCGACCAAATAGCCAATAATTTAACGCAAGGTGACAACATCCGACAACACCTGATGTGGTGATCATCCTTACATATTATCATATTATTATCATAATAGTTATACTACACAGATTTACACAGCCTACGTTTTTATGCAATGGGTCCGTCCGTGGTCTTCCCAATAAACGGCGTGCAGTGACACCTAGTGACGGACCACCGTAAATTTGTTTTGGCCTTCACTTGACTTTCCTGAGTCTGTTCCTTCTCTGATTGGTTGCTGCTGTGACTTTGAAAGAAACATATGGTCTGATTTTGGCGGCATCCCTGGTTCTTTCCACATAGAGAAGAAAAATTCAAGGCTGAGATGTCTTTTTAGTTGAGTTTTCAAGATGTTCCCTAACAATACGTTTTTGTTTCTGTTTCGCTTTCTCACAAAACAATGTTTCCCCACAGCAGTTTGCTCTCATTCGCTTTCTGCAAGATATTATAAAGTATCAACTTAACCAATTTTCATTGCCCTTAGGGTTGTGTACTGTATTTGCAGTAGTAACATTAAATACAATATATACTTAAATATATACTTAACTTTCTGACCAGTCACCATCTCTATCCTGGTGGTGGTGGTCTTTTCTGGGAATATCTTTCAGAGGAACGGTGTTTATGTCTCCAGGTAGAGTACAGACACTTGGAGATTGTACAACAAGTTGCTCTATAACAAGCTGTTCTGGAAGCTTATTGTGGACACCATCTGTGGGTATTTGAGGTTTTAACCAGAGTGTGAAAGACAAGAACATAGTGAGCTAGACTTTCTAGACTGTAGGCCATGCCTTTAATATTTATGCATACTGAGATTTCAAGATCTAATAATTTCATGTCATGTCACACACACAAAAAAAAACAATAGCCTACTGGCAGTGTTGCTTGCTTTTCTGTTTTTAAACTCAAGATGGGAGTGTTGCTTTATATTTGATATGTCACCACACTTTGTAGGCTACTTATACATTATACATTACAGTTTGAGATTTACAGGAGTTTGTTTAATCTTTTTTTGCAAATGATCATCTTATTACATCTTTTCCCTTCACTGAGCCTTCAGAAGAAACTCATGAGAGTGTCACTTAAAGGTATCATAGCGTAATTTGACATTGTATTATGAATATGCAATGCCTTTTGTTTTCCTATTTTATTTGATTTTGCACTCTGCATACATGTTCGTTCTGTGGAGAAAATCCATCCATCCATCCATCCATCTTCATCCGCTTATCCGGGGTCGGGTCGTGGGTCCTGTAGAGACCTTCATCATTTATTATTAACATTGCAACTCAATGCAGAATTTTTGGGTAGTTCAACACATGAAATATAAACTGTATGGGGCTTTTAAACACAGGTGTAAACAATAAAATGAATGATGGCTGAATTCAGTTTAGCTGCTTCGGTTTCAGGGTGCTGGTATTGTGCATGCTGGCTCACTGTCACACTGTCATTGCTTAATGAGACACTTGAAGCAGAGCCATCGGTTATGTTAGTAACACCTGTGCTTTCCAATGAGACAGTTAAAAGTCAAAATGTCTGCTGTGGAAAAAGGACTGTGGCGACAAACTCTTTCCCAAAAAACATGAACAGATATCTGGGTGTCTGAATCGTCTTTCAATGCAGATGAATTTTAAAATACCAAGTTGGTTTAAATAACAAACTACGTGTCTCACATTGTGATTCAAGTCTGCAGACGAAGCTTCAGTTTATTGCTGTCTTTCTGTGTATTTCACTAAGTCTGCTCTGTCCATTCTGCACATTTTATTTATGTAAAGGTTTGAACTCCTCTTTGAATTCCTCTGACACAGTAGGGAAAACCGCTCTTATGGATGAGTGAGATTTCCTGACCTAACTTTTACACAAATGTGCATTCCCATTCTGTTCAAATGAAACAAGCTCCTGTGATTTGATTGTAACATATTATTGATCATTTTTAAACCATTATTTTTACTCCACTATATTTATTTTACAGGTTAGTTAATACTTTAAATAAACATGTTTGTTTATTACTTTACTTTAATGAATTTTTAATATATGTTACAGGATTATTATTACTCTTGCTCCTACTTTTACTTAAATAAAGACTCTTCATATTTATTTTCCGACGGTATCAGATCAGCAAGCACAAGTCGCAATAATTATCAATCGCACATGTGACAATTAGAGGGGACATCGCGAGATCTGAGCACGGGATTTCCCTCGGCGGTAGGTGGAGACTGGACTCAGCAGAGTGGAGTCGGTATCCAGGCAGCTGCTCTCTCTCTCTCTGCCTTTCTAACAGCTAGGCTAGCTCGTAAACAACACCAAGAAGCCCCGACTGTGTCTCGGGGAATGTAATGACTGAACACGCAGCTGTTTTCTCTAATAGTGCCAGTATCTGCCTGTGTTCTTCTTTTCATTTCCACTACATGTCTCGTGTTCCTGTTCAGGACCGTCTCTGCAGCGTACTGAGGCACTGATGCTGCCTAAATGAGCTAACCTGTCAACTGTTTCCAAAGACAAAAGCAACATTTTTACTGGGACCTGAGGTAAGATTTATAGTACAGATAATGGTTTTACTTGTTTATGTGCAACAGAAAGGGGTTGTATCTATACAATTCTCTCAGCCTGACTGTCACAGCGCTTTACCTTTGCAGGTGTTGGTAAATCTCAGATGAGTGTGTTCGGCTGCTAAGAAAGAGGTGTCCAGCTGACATACAGTCACAGTTCAAGATATGCTTATAGATGTGTGTATAAAAATATAAAACCTTGTCTAGAAAACAATTTCACCAATGAATGTGTGTGTTCTTTAACTTCTTAAGTGCTGTTAATATCATGCACCTCTAAAATATCATTTAAAATATACTTAAATAATTTAATGAATGAATGAGTATTTATCAACAGTATTTACTGTGTCCAAATATATATTTTGAGTAGATTTTGAATCACTATTATAATAATTTAGCTTCATTGTGCTGCATTGTAACTGGAAAGTGTGAGCAAATGACAACAGGCTGCTAGGTTAATTTTTGTTGACAAGGGGTCTCCTTGTCTCTTCCACAGTAATAACACGCAGTGCTTAGAAAATTAAAATACCATAATGCTGCTTGTGTGGTATTTATGGTCCATCACCTTCCAGATGAGACATTATTTCATGTCCTTGGAGTTTGTTATATTCCTCAGAGGGTTCTCTGACTCAAAGATCTACCCTGAAATTTACGGAAATTAAACTGATGTGGTTTATTTGAATCCCCCTCCCAAAATTGAAAAATACATGTTTTACAGGCTGTTCCACAGTCATATGAGGCTAAGTACCTGTATCTGTATCTTGCTGGATTATGGATTTTGATTGGCTGCAGTGGCTTAGTTTAGGAAGCGTTAGCTGTAAATTAACGTAAAATCTTGTCACATCTTGATCAGGCTACATCCCCACATGCAATTTGATTTAATTCGTCAATTTCTTTTGTTCTCCCTGCCCTCTTTTTATGTGTGAAAATAGTGGAGACGTTCAACGGGGTCTTGTGTTACAGACCCGGAGCTCTCCCCATTGTACTGTCACTTTGATCTGCATTTCTGCTCTTGTCTTTGGGAATAATTCAAAGCCGTTGTACTTGCAACTTTTCACAAAACTGAAACGCTGACTTGTGCAGGAGACGATGAGTTTGGATCACCCTCTGTGAATGCTTTTGCATTTTCAAGGGAAAAATATTCTTGCAGTCTTGTCTCTAAAATAACTGATATTCATGTATTTCCACATCCCCTAACTGCTGAGCAGAATTGACTTGCATGGCTTTTCAAATGTGGCAGAGCGGATACACTCACACAGTGTGGGGTTCAGTACTTTTTTGGAAAACAGATCATGCATTAGGATAAATCTCAAAACAAACTTTTGCAAAGGTGCACACAAGTCTCTGCAGAGAAATTTATAACGTAAAAGTCATTTCTAAGAGGCTTGTGAAGGAGCTGATGTGTATGCGCCTCAAATCTTCAGTCCTGTGTTTCTGACAATTGCAATGCAGGATTTCTGGCACAATGGCCTCTATACGGATTTAAAAGACGTGCATCTAATAACAAGCTGTTGTCATTCTGGGCTGTGTCTACTTGAAAGTCTCCAATATATTTTGTTTGGTAAATGTAGCCACCTCTGTTGCACATGTGAGTGCTTTGTGCTGTTACACGTCTACAATGTGTTGCTTGTTGAAGTTTGTTTTCTAGTGTGGAATTGGCTCATTGTAGCCCCTTATGGCCTTGGAGGAAAACCTCACCCGCTACACCTGTGGTTGCACCAACCATTAAGTACCATTGGGTGCTTTTGGCCCTCTGGTCTCAGCGGGCTGTAATGATGTAATGAGGCTGCACTGGAAAACATACTCAGACAAGCAACGCGATTTATGCTTTATCGGAAGGGTTTCCAAATAGTATTTTTGGGTTTTACCGGAGAACAGATTTCAAGGATTAAGGGGTTAGTTTAGAAAATGGACATCTGTACACCCCCACC